CCGATTTGAAAGACGCATTTATGAAACATACCACTGGTCGTTTAGGGCAAGGATGCAAAAGGAACAGGAAACTAAATATCTCCAGAGGGAACATTTTTTCTTGTTAGACTCTATATACAGCGGACAGCTAAAAGCCTTTATAATGATAATGCTGGGGAATAGAGCCTGCACACGTGTGATAAGTTATGTACTTTCTATTTGTCTGTATGATTACAGTGATTTGTGGGACATGATTTGATCCATGGTGTTTCCAAATCCATCTCGTAATGAATTGAGCTTAGCATATGCTTCTGCTCTGTAGGCATGTCAAAGTTCAGGATGGTGTGGGAACACTGTGTTTCATTTAGTAAGATATATGATTATACGGAGGAAAACTTGGGGTATGGCCCTGCAAGAGACTGACATTTAGAATAAGAGGAGAGAATTTGCATTTCTTCCATTTTGAGAAAAGGAAGAATTAATTCCAACAGAAAGAGTGGCAATTGAATGGGGAGAAGGGGAGCTGATGAAGTGGGGGAATAAATGAAGAAAACTAGTTATATGGGGTGGATGTAAAGCAATGAGAACTTCTAAGCACACATCAAGCCAGTATTTGAATTGGTGCTGTCTTTCAAAATGACCTTGAGAGCATATATCTGTATTCCAGGCACATTGCCACTACTCAAAACATCTTGGGCACTGCTCTCAGGGATTTACCTTGTCACCCTTTATAGTATCGTTGTACCGTTAATATTATTTCATAATGATGACAGTATATGGCATTATTTCTATCACTTGGCCTATTTGTAAATGTACAGAAGTATTATTCCATGGACCAATGTCTCCTTGTCATCAGCCTTTATAGACCTATGGCATATTCTCTGAGCCTTTGCTATGTGGTGGGAGCAATCTGAATATAGCTGTTGGCTCTCAAGTGCTCAGCTCTAGATCTGTCTATTCACAAGAACAAGGACACACAATTAAGACCAAAGTGTAAAAAGACTGACAGGACAGTAATCAGGGACAAAGAAAGCACAGGTATCAGGCAAATCTCTAAAGAGAATTCCTCGTCACAAGAGTAGCAAATGCTGTTTGGGGGGTTCCTCTGATGAGACACAAGCATTTATTTGAAAACAGAACACTTTTCAGTAGTATTTGTTATAATGTGATTTTTATCTGTTTTGCTAGGCACAGGTTGAACAGAGGAAGAATGTTAAATGGATTCCAACAAGTGAAATTCTCAGTTAATTTGGCTAGAATTTGGAAATATATGCAATTTCCTTCAACTCATTCTGTCCACACATATTTGTTAGACATACTATGTGTTAGGAATGGTCTTAGGTGTTCAGGAAACTGTGATATATAAGACAGACCTGACCCCTCCCTTGCTGGTGGATATTCAGATATTGGAGAAAACAGATAGTAAAGAGTGACAAGTTATTATAGGGTTGTTTCAAGAGCCATGAGAATATATTGTAGATTTACTATAGAGTTTAGGGGTCTAGGAAGGCTTCTTTAAAAAATGAAAGAAGAGTGATAGTTAAGGAGATGAAAGGTACAAGAACTTTCCAGGCGAAGAGAATAGCAGGTGTAAGAGCCCGGAAGTAAGAATTTAGCATGGTACAACTGAATTGAAAGAAGTTCAGCGAGGTCACCATGTAGAAGAGTAAAGAAAGAATGGTATAAAAAGAGGTTGGTGAAGTTAGGGTTGGACAGATCACACATGGGCCTAAATGAAGGTTTTATTAAAGGAACTTGAAAGGCACCCTAAAAACCATGAAAGCCATTGATGGACTTTTAAAATGGGAAAATGATTGCATTTTCATTTCAAAAAGTTTATTCCAGCTGCCTTGTGTGGACTGGATTGGGTGGGGACAACAAAACGGAGGCAAGGAGACATGTTGGGAGGTCACTGCCATATCTAGGCAAGAGGATCATGGCTTCAGCTAGTTTCATGTCATGCCCAGGGGTTATGACTAGTGTCTAGAGCCTGGGAGCTCTTTAGGGCTAACCTATAAGCCCTTATAAAGTTGCTTTGAGAACTTTGTGATGTGTGGCAGTTGGGGAGCCTGAGAGCAGAGGTGGTTTGGGACAGCAGAAGGAATGAAGTTCTTGCCTCTTCCAGGTTCCATGGCTGGGGAACTGTCCAGGAGGTGGGTGCTGAAGAGCTGAAGCCAGGACCTGCCTGAGGACGCTTCATGGGAGATGGTGCAAGGTGTTAACACCTAGGGAGGAAGGGAGTTCTTGCTTTGTCGTTTATTTTCCTTTTCTCATTACCTTATTGATTTCCTTCCTCTACCTCCCTCCTCCTCCATTTGCATTTGCTGGCAATCTGGGCGGCCATAGCTCACTCGGCCTAGAGGAAAGAGGCACACGGGTGCCTCTCACTCCTCCTCTACCAGAGACTTACCCTTATAAGGAGCCGACAGAGCACTGATGAAAGAGAACTCACAAGAACTCTCATCCCATCTTAGGGTTGGATGACTGGTTGTTTTTGCTAAATTGGCCATTCCAGCCTTTTCTGAAGCTTTAGGTAGGGGGGATGTTGTTGTTGCTATTATTATTATATTACTATTACTATTACTATTATTATTATTATTATTATTATTATTATTACTAGTAGTTATTACTGACTAAGTATTTAGATGGGCCAGGCATTACTCCAAGCACTTTCCTTCCCCAACCCTCGAAGAGGGTAAACGTTATTATTGCTCCTTTATAGAACATGGCTTGACTTGGAAGATCAGTAGTTGTGATTTGTGCTATTTATTCAGTAAATTATCTGAGGCTACATAACTGACGGATGAGGGTGGAGGACATAGGAAATAAAATTCATTGATATCTACTATATATAGATGCTTTTGATAGTCATTATACGTAGTCTCATAATAATCCTATAAAGTTCTCTTGTTATTATACACATTTTACAGATGTGGACACTGGGGCTCAGCAAGGTGCAGTAAGTGGCTAAGGTTACACGACTGGTAAATGGGTGAGCCAGGTTTTAAACTTGGGACTTTCTGATTCTAACGCCTTATGCTCTTTCATCCACGGTGCTTTTTTTGTTTTATGGGCCCGTCACACCTACAGTCTAGTTGGATTTTAGCAGGTGAAAAGCCCTTGCCTCATCTTCCTGCAGTTCCATTTGTCTTTGGGTCTTGATGCTTCCTACATCATCTCTAGCTCTGGGTGGAGCGGGGCCGGCTTCCCACATCAGAGCATTTCAGTAGTATGCAGGCTCCCTGAGGATGGGGGCACTTGTGTGTTCTGTAATTGCACACTTAGTCAGGTCACGAGGCATCATCAAACCAAGCTGGTCTTTGTCTGGATCTCCATTGGAGAGGTTGGCCTCGTTATTAATATTGGAAATGTCAGTCTGTTAAACAGCCTTAAACAGGGAGGAGGGAGGCTGAGAACAAAGTCTCCTTCACACAAAACTCTAGTGGATTGGAGTGAACAGAATCAACATCTTACTTGCTGTAAATCCCCTGCAGTGGCCACAAAAGAGAGAGGACTTGCTGGACTGAGGAGAAAAACAATCCCTTTGATTCATCTGAATTAATTTAGCATCTCCCAGGAGGAAAGGCTCTGGCCTCACCCTCCTGATCTCCACGCCCTGCACACAGCCCCACAATCCCAAAGGACAAAAGACTAGTTGATGGTGGGGAGCGCCTACACTGCCCCTTCCTTCACTTTAATTAAATCCATTTGTCTTGGGAACACTGAGCCTTGGGATGTCCAAAGGCTTTGATCTTTAACCCACAGTCATCGAAGGAGTAGGAAGCTGGTGCTCAGAGTGAGGACATTGGCTTCTCCCTCTGACAGCACAGTTCGACTTATGAGCTCTTGGGAATAGCAGACTCTGTGAAGTTTGGGTGAGGAATTTGAGACTCAGCTTTATGTTTGCAAAGCTGTGTACCAACTGAAATCACCCTCTGCCTTGCCTTAAGGCCTTTGCCCTCATTTTTGAAGGTGGCTCCACCAGGGTGGAAATGTGAATGTACTTTAGGGGTCTAATGCAGAAGCTGCTCTGGCTTGTAGGGTGTGACATTTAGCCTATTAAAGCTGGCTCTTCCCTTTCTAGATCCATTCACCTGCCCCCTTTATAGATATAACCCCTTGCCCTTTTTGGTCTGGAGCAGATCAGCACCAACCATCGAGGCTTCAACATGACACACCAGTGTGTCACGTGAGCTGCTGTGCTGGGCCATCTTTACTGAAGCACTGCCTGCTCCAGGCCGACTGCAGGTGGCAGACTGGTGCCATCCTGGGGAGACAAGTGACAGCTGAACTCAGCGGTTACTGCTAATTTCAGATTCACATGGAGTTAACGATCTTCTAGTCCAATGCATTCAGTTTAAAGATGAGAAAACTGAGGCCCAGAGAAGTTCAAGGTCACAAAGGTCATTAGTGATAGCATCTAAATAGGAAGCAGGGCCTCTGGTAAGCACTATTCTGGGATGCACAGCACTGGACTTGGATCAACCTGAGCGCCGGTCCTCACTCTGATGCCAACTTGTTGGTGCTTCACCTCTTTGGTCCTCGGTTTCTTCCCTTGTAAAAAGGGCAGGAGTGGGAAACGTGATAGGCCTGTCCTATCTGCTGCACAGGTTTTGTTGTTAATAAGGAATAAATAGTCAAATGGGAGAGTAAGGAAGAATCCATTAAGTAAGAGAAAATGCTATATACATATAAAGCCTAATTATTATTTGGGAATGATATGAGTTGTTCAATTTTATTTCTTCCTGCACACATTGGCAGCCAATCAGGCCAGTCCAGAGATGTGGGAGGTGATTGCTCATTAGCATCGATGTCCCTTGGAGAAACACGGTACTCTCTGTAAGCATGAAGAAAGTGTGTGTGTGTGTGCATGTGTATGTGCACATTTGTGTATGTACACGTATATGTGCACTCTGGATGTGTGTCTTGGGTCGAGGGGTTCGGGGGAGGGAAGACATGGCCCCCTCCTGCATTTTGGCGGATAGAAGGAAAGGGAGTGATGGGGATGGGTAGAGGCCTACCTGTCGGCCACATCGAGGAGAGGCAGCACTGTCCACTGCCACAGGCTCAAGCCTTCATTGGTGGCAACGTGCCAGAGCATCCTGCTTTGTTCCTTCCCGGTTTTGTTCTCCACCAGCACCAAGGAGACGTTTCCCCGCAAGTCTCCACGGATGAGCCAGGACATCCGGAGCTGCAAGGGAGAGAAAAGCCAGAGGACATGATGTTGCAAGGAAACCTTAGGTCCCCTTCCTGGAATTTTCAGCCCTAAAGGATTTTTCTGGAGTCTCAGCCGAGGTCTGCCCGGTGAGGAGAGCTGGATGCCTGCCGCCTGATCCTGCCCACTGTCTCCCAAAGGGCTTTAAGGTTCAAGGAGACGGGCAGGGGCAACTGATGGGCAGTTTGGGAACTTTGTTCAGGTTAATGTCATCATCCTAAATTTCACAAGATTCTATCTTGGAGGTGACAGCAAGATCAATGGGGGTATTAAGTGAACTTCCTAAACATGACCCAAACATTTTTGTCTGTGACCTTGGGCAAGTGAACTTGTGACTCATTTTTTTTTTAGTATGCGGGCACCATGGATTTTCATTCCTTTCCTAAAGACTCTAATAATCTTATCTGAAGCTACCATGTCATGTGTTAGCTAACTGTAGACCCTATGACTTAGTACCTGTGGGCACTGGTAGGCAAAGGTGAGATAAAAATCTACATATCAAGATCTTTTAATATGGTTGTCTTTCAGAATGAGAATGCCCACTTTGCCACAAGGAAACCACAGTCATATGTTTTCAGTGTATATGTATTAAAGGTTTCTATGGCGTTGCTCACTAGACATATGAAAGGGAATTGTAGCTAATAGTTCTAAGCAAGTTTAAGTACAGTCATGCCCAGAGGCGGTATATACTTTAAACAAGGTCTCTAGGCTTTGTGTTTAAAGTCATAGAGGTTGTATGTTTGATAGAAACAATCTATAAACATCATTTAAAAGGTAGGACAGCTACAACATATCATTGCCCCAAATATTCCTGTTCAGATCCTGTTATAAAAATGGCTACTACAGAAAGGAAGGTAAAATACGTCCTCTGCCAGCTGGAGTTCTCATCAGCTATGGTGCCCTTTTTTCTCTGATTCTCATTGTTTGAAGACATTCTTCTTTGTAAACCACTGCTCCTTCGTCTCCTAGTTCCTGGGCTCATGGTTGCCTCACAGTTTGATCAGAGAGGTTACAGACCATGAGGCACTAGGTTGCATACAACCCCTTCACCATCAAAGCCACACGTGGCATTGGGGTGTCCAGGTGCTGTTCTACTTCTCAGACCCTGAGTCAGGTAAGCCTGGTCTATAACCATAACCTCTTCACTTACCCTTTCCATTTCTCCAAATGCAGAGTAGGAAATACTTGTCTCCATCGAGGCCTCCCACAATAATTTAGCAAAACTGTTCATTTTTTTCTGGCCCCACTTGGCTCTCTTGTGCAATCTGGATGCCGTGACTGGAAATTTTAAACCTACCCTTGCTGACTAAACTCTCTCAGCCCTCAGCCTTTGCCCCGCTGTGCCCAGCTAAGGATGATGCTTGCCACATGCTTCCTCTCCTTTTGCTTCTTGGCCGCAGATACTGCTGATTTGGACGTCTGTGAAATCAGACTGTTGAACCTCAATGCCCTGGATGGTTAGGTGGTTCTTAGTCATCCACTGTTGATTTCCACGGTTGATTTCTAAACACACGTAGCGCCAGGGGTGTTTCAAGCTCTTTCTCAAACAGATGCCGTCACCTCCTGGCCCCCAATTCCCGATCCATTATTTTGATTCCTATTTTACTGATAAAGTTTACTATACCAGGTGCCATCTCCTTCAGCCTCTTCTTTTTTCTCTCCTTTAGTGTATCTATTTATTGACCTCCTCTCTTCCTTTCCTGTTTTAGAGGAAGATGTACCCTTTGTTTTCTTCTGTGTTAACCCCTCATCATCTCACTGTCCCCTAGTCCTTGTTCGGGCAACTCTTCCTCCTCTTTCCTCCAGCTCCTTCAGGGTCTCTCTACCTTCTGGCTCCTCTGCCTACAAATAAGACAAGGTTTTACCCATTGTGGGAAAATATCCTTTATTTGATCCTGCTAGCTGCTCTGGCTTGCAACCTATTTCTGGACCTCCATTCAGATGCTAACATCTTGGATAACTGTATGTAACTGCTGCTTCTGTTTCCTTGCCACCCATTCTCTCTTTAATTTCTTTCAACCTGGCTTTATCCGCATCACTCTAACAAAGCAACGCTCACCATGTCCTTTATAAGTTATTCTTTGAACACTTTCCACGGCCTCCTAAAGTGCCTCTCCTTCTCCATTCTTCCTGCCTTCTAAACGCTTTTGTATATCTGTCACATTTTCCCATTTATCACTGCCACCTGTGACTGACTCTTCAGTGATTTCTTACTCCCTATTAATTAATATCAAAGCATTCACATTCCTCCACAATCTAAGCAAATTAATATATAAGCATATATATATATGAATATTTATTGAGCACTTATGCTGAGCTACATGTATCCTCCATTCTAGAATGGTCTAAGAACTCTAGAGGCAGAGATGTCTGAATTCAAAACCAGTTCTTACCACTTCGGTCATTTTGAAGCTCAGTTCTCTATTCTCTAAGATGGGAATAGGTTTATCAACCTTATAGGGTTATAATGATGATTAAATGAGATAATAAGTAATGTGACAAAACGTCAAAAAGGAATTTTGGCTGAAGCACTGAGGCACTAGATACTACATGTCAAAAGGAAGTCTGAGAACACAGTGATGCCAAACTTTCAAGAGAGGTAGATGATATGGGTTACATAATTCTTAATCCCTCAGCCATGCTTTGGATATAAGTCAGTGGTTGACTATTAAGAGAGAGCCTTTGGAATGTGCTTTTGGTATATCATGATTTCTACCTCCCTTCATTCTTCTGCTAAGAAGGTTCTCTCTTCATCTCACGTCGAGAGAGTTGTTTTAATGATACCACACGAAGCACTTGATAGTCCCAGCAGTTTGGGGAGCACAGTGGATTGGTGTCTGCCTCCTACCTGGAAAATCTGAAGTATGAACAAGAGGCTGGTTAGCTGCTGTGATGGCCAAGCAAAGGAGAAACGGCAACATTGGGTGGCCTGCACTCTCAGAGTTTGCTGGGGCAAAAAAATGCATGAGGGCTGCACATAGACTAGAGTTAGCCGAGTATAAGGGAGCCTGTGAGGGTCATTTTAGATCCTGTCTGAGAGGGCTGCTTAGAGGGGTACATAGAACTCAGCAAAAAGAAGCTGCAGGTATCTCGAGGTGCCCAATGGCAGAGGAAGGAATAAGTGACCCCCTGGAATGGAGATACATACGTCCCAGTCAAGGTGAAGATTCCCAGCCATCGTGGAGAGGCAGATGAGGAGACAGGTAGATCTCCAAAGAAACTCCCGAAGTGTCCCCGTGAGAAGCAGTAAGCCTTAAACATTGGTCACATGCAGAGAATACCAATGCCAGATACACTGACCACAACAGTCCCTGTCGAGTTAGAGCTTTCCTGCTCCCCTTACCTCTTCGCCCTCCCTGCACCGAAAGGATAGAAGTTAGCAAGGCACAGAAGACAGCTGGGTGAAGGAGAGAAATCAATGCCCATTCTTTCCCTGACTTCAGGCTTCTCATCTGCAAGAGGGCAGATGGGGTGGGGGGAAGGGAGGGAAACAAGCCCTGGCTTTAAAGAAAGATTGAAGTTTTGAGCAGATGGGCATTTTGATTTCTAAGTAAGCCTGTGTATTGTGTTTTGAAGTGACTGAAGAACTGTCTGCGTTACCTTAGAGCAACCAGATAAGCAGTAGGGGCTGCCGGTGTTTTCACCCAGCAGTCTAAACACGGGGACCCAACGAATGTTGGTTCCTAGGCTCCTCCACACCCCAATCTACCTGCCAGCTTTGCGCCCACTTTACATTTTTCTGCTTCTTGCTTTTGATCCTTCCATTTCCTCTACATGCTCTTCCCTTATCTCCACTTAAAAATGATTGAGCCTCTTATTTTCGGGGAGCCTTTTCTTATCTATTTCAGAAATTATCTCTGCCTCCTCTGAAATCTTATAATTGATGCCACTTGGACCATCACAGGGCATAGCTCTGCTGCCTGTCTTCCCTCTCTACCCTCCGTCTCCCCTGGACTACAAGCCCTTCAAGGCAGGGGCCGTCTTGTTCACCTTGAGTTCACAGTAACTATCAAGTGGGGGCACATGGCAGCCGCCGATCAAATGTACACACGTACACGTTTACGGGAAGACCCTCCTATCTGTACCAGGTCCCCCTCTCAGAGACAGAGACCAACTTTCCATCCTGTGAAGTTCCTTAGCACTGCCCTGAATTCTAGGGGTCGGGTTCCAGGAAAGGGGGGAGGATTCACCCAATTAGCAGCCACCTGCTATAATCCAAACGGCCTCAGCTGCTTTTAGGAAACTTTCAGTTTGGAGGAGTCTGCTAGTGCCACGGGCATGCTGGTGAGATGTTATATCAGCACTGGGACCACTGACCAGCTGACTGATGAGCTTTCTCCATCTTTCTGCACTATGTATTTTAGGTCAGCCACCTGGGCAAGGAGGGTGCTAAGAATGGCATCTTTAGCTTTTGAGGAAGTCTGCCAGGACCCCTCTTGGTATCAATCCTTGAAGGAGATGATCATCCATTCATTCAACAAATATTTACTGCATAACTATTCTGTGCCTCATATTATGCACATCTTCCCTGTCCTCATGGGTCTCATCCTCTAGCCAGGAAGTCTGAATTTAAATGAGTAATTGCAATTGTGCTGAGTGTAGCAAAAGGAGAAGTAATCAAAGCCGCTTAACAGTGAAGACATAAGACATCAGAGAGTCAAGACATTTGACATTATATAGTCAGGACTTGGGTCAAGGTAGCCACTTGACCCAGCTGTTCAGAGCTATGGATAAATAGGAAAATTAAAAATTTGATTTGCCTTTCACCTTATAATACAGTCACCTATGTTTATAGAAGAAAACATTTATCAATAGCCAAACTCAAGCCAAGGAGCGCATTGTCTGAGATTCAGCAAAGCCTCGCTTTAGAAACAGATATGAAATGTTTGGCATAAGATTGCAAACTGGCAGCCAGTGAATGGCCAGCAAAGTTTGGTTTTTGGTCTTTTGTTGTTGTTGTTGTTGTTGCTTTAATCCACTGAGTATGTGGTCAAATGATGTATCCAGGCAGATATTTTTCTTCCTCAAGATTACAAGCAGTCTTCCATTTGGCCTACTTCTCTCCCCTGTAGTTATCCCTAGTGATTCAGGGTCCCGCCTCTAAGGGTCAGTCAGTGTACTTTGCTACTCAGAGTGTGATCTTCAAGCTGGTATCATGGGTGTTACCTGGGAACTTATTAGAGATGCACAATCACTAGCCTGACCCCAGACCTGCTGCATCAGAATCTGCAGAGAGGTACAAAGCTAGACAGCAGCCTCTGGGGCCCACGACTGCTCCTGTGACTCATCCCACTTCCGTTCTAGAATGCATCAGAAACAACGGTCCTTTGTATCAACAGTCATTCTCTGGTGGCTTGTCAAACTCTCCTTGTTTCCTTTTCTGTTGACAATGGGATAACTTGGAGTTCGGGCTCCAAAGCCAAAGTTAATTAACTGTGTGACTTTAAGCCAACCAACCACTTGCCCCCTCTGAGCTTCTATTTTCTTAATGACAAACTTGTGAAAATAATCTTCCCTGCCTGCCTTAAAAGGTGGTTATAAAGATCGAGTGAGAAAAAGAAGGTGGAAGCGGACAGATCTCACATGTTGTGATGAAATGGTTAATCCAGTGGTTTGCACACTGGGTCGCAAACTAGAATCACATGGGGAGCTTTCAAGACTACCCATGTCTGGGCTCCACCCCAGAGACTCTGATTTAATTGGCCTTGGGTAGGTCCTGGGCAGCCACAGTTTTTTCAATTCTCTCCAGGTGAGTCTAAACAGCAGCTTCAGCTGAGACCACTGGAGAGATGGGGCTACTTAGAGCAGCAAGTAGCCTGGCCTTCTCAGTAAGGGGTCCATTTTCATCTTAAACTTTGAGTAAGAGGCAATTCTTAATAACTAAAAAAATGGCTTGAAATGGGCCCACCATCGCCAAGGTGTAGAAAGAGTGATTTTCCTGCAGGGGGAAGACGCGACCCTCAGTGGAGGGCTTCCATGTGGCTGTCACATCACTCCTGGGCAAAGAATGAGAACAACCTGAAAGTGAGAGATCCCTGGGCTGGGGGGTGAGGATGCAAAGGGGACTAGAAGCATCCTCTCAGACCTACAGGGTAAGGTTCTCAACAATTTCTTAATTAGAAGGACTGGAGGACTGATGCCAATTCATACTGAATGGCCCTTATTCATTACTTGTGTCTAAGTGTATAGAGCAGC